TCTCACTGGTGTTTCTATTCATATAATCTGGATGAGTAGGATTAAAAATAAATTCATTCTGACGAATTGCATTGATAAATGCTTCTTTATCAAAAGACGCCTGCGACGACATTGACATCGACAACACCATTTTGTTCAGTCTGTTCAGTGATGACGTGATAACGTGATGACGTCAGCATTCCAGTGTCTTTGATTGGCTGCAAAGAACAAAGCGAGGCGAAGAAGTAGGATCATATCCAACTCCTTCGTTTAGCTCGAAAATGGGCTTGCGGTGATACGGCGAAAGCGAAACTTCGCTTCTTAGCGGAGCTTTAACGCGTGCTTTGCTCAAGCGAAGAAAAGACTTCGCTTCGCTGCTCACTTAGCGGAGCATAAACTGGCTTTAACATTTCGATTCGATCCGTTGGATCTTATCTATTTTTGCTATCAATGGCTGAGTAGTATATGAGCTCATAGATTGGTCACATTTTTCCACATTCCATTTCATTTCACGGGAAAAATGCAACCAATCTATGAACTCCCAAAAAAAAAGACCTAAATTCCCTACATTTCATAAATTCTTACAGCAAAACATCCTACATTTCATAAAACATCCTACATTTTCATAAAACATCCTACATTTCATAAAACATCCTACATTTCATAAATTCTTACACTTAAAAAATATCTAAATTCCCTACATTTCATAAAATTCTTATCAATTTCAATCAATTTCCTACATTCCATCAAAAAAAGCATATTAAAAATACCCTTATATAAAATAACATCCTTGTTTCGCTTAACATCCAGTTTTTAATAGCCTCGTTTTAATGTTATTTTTAGTCTAGAAACTTCTAGAAGGGAGATAACTCTTGTTTTGAAAAAAAAAAACAGACTTAATTAATTCATTTAAAAATAGGATGAGTTTACTTCTAAAACACGAACAACACAGATTCGAAGATTGTTCGGGCGATGGTATCTTTTCTTAATTATTTTCTCTAGGTAAAACAATAATTCAAAAAGTAGCTAGCTTTGTTTCAAAAAAAAATCACTCATTTCAACCGGAGCGAAAGCCGTCGGCTCAATCGCAGAAGCGGGAAAGAGTATAAGCGATGCAGTGAAACAATCTAACGAGTTGAAAGAATTACAACAAATAAGAGATCTGCGAAACAGGAAATTAGAAGAAAGGAAAGGAAAAGATTTTCAAGTTATAGGATAAAAATGATAGTCGCTCACGCTCCAAAAACTTATTTCAGTTCAGGAGATATACAAAAATCATTGGGTTCTCTTCCTGGATTTCCATGGGCGAAATATCCCGGAGAAAAACATCTTCCCAGTCATAATTACACCGGTCAAGGTACTAGGTTAGATCTGCGATTAGACGAAAACGATAAACCCAAACCAGGCGAAGAACCAGTCAATAGAGTTGACGCCGCTGCGCTTAAACACGACATACTATACAGAAACAAAGACATAAACTTCAGACACGAAGCAGACAGACAAATGATAATCGAACTTGAAAATATTCGAAATCCAGCTTGCAAAGAGAGAATGCAAAGAGTATTAATCATAAAACTGTTAAAAGCAAAGATGAAATTAGGCATGGGATTAGCGGATGAAATTCACAAAGAATTTAGAAAAACTAAAAACTTTTTAAAAGTGAAAGTGTTTGAAAAAGATGAAATATGGTGGTCAGCCGATTTAATTCATATGCCAGACGAAAGAGGATTTAAATATTGCTTAACAGTTATAGATTTGTATACG